TTTTAGTTCATTTTTCCCTAAAGTACTCAGCTCTGTAGTTCACCCTTGAGGGAGTGGCCATGAGGGGGGCCTCTCACCTCTTGAAACGCTAGGTGACTGCATCTGGGGACAAAGGGACATTGATTTAGTTCGACACGATTTTGGTCGTGTCAAAAGGGGGAATTGTTAGATATTTTTAGTCAGATAGATATTGGATAGATACTTTATGTATTAGAAATGTTAGTGGAGAGAGGATGTCTAGTTAGACTGTTAAATGCTTAGGCCTGCTTATGAGTTTCTGCAGGGTACATCTGGTCAAGGCTACCAGAGAGAAGAGTTGATGACTGTCAGCAGACAGGGTGTTCAATATTATTATTACGATGTGTATAACTGTAGCCTTAGCCATAATGTTCCTATGTTCAAGTCACGACATCTACTAGAGGTCGTGAGAATGTTTTTAGCTACACACCACTTAACCAACAGACATACACATTCACACGTTGATTTGCTTCATGTTTTGACTATTGCTAGAGCCAGCTGCAAAGCTGGTGAGAGAGACGTCTCGGTTGATGTTTCTGTGTAGTATGGGGCTAGCCCAACCGAGGGGATATAATGTATAGGCCTGTTGGGGTTCAGGGTCTTTCATCTTACATCTGCCTGTGTGCATGTTGGAGGTGCAAGATATCTGAGCGTGTAATGTTAATTTTACCTGTGATCCTTTGAATAAATCAGCACTGTTTTGAAGTTACTTGGACTGCCTCGTCTCTCAGAGTTAGCATGGTAGCAAGAACTGGTTCCTTCAGTCGGTATGTACGTATGTGTGGGTCTGTGTCCATCTGTGGCCTGGTATTACTCATGTTGTGAGGATATAATTCTGTTTACAGTCACAATGAGTGGGGGACTCATTGTCCTTATAGGGCAAAAAGTAAGTCCCCAAAATGTAAATCAGTACATTTTAGAGAGATGATTTGGTTTAAGGTTAGGGTAGGTCTCCAGGAAATGAATGCAAGTCCTCTTAATATCCCCTCAAATTATGGAAACACAGCTTTATGAAGTCCATTGTCTGTTTGTCAAAAATATTTATGGGAACAAAAGTTTATCCCAAATGCCAAAAGAGCATATTGAGAAGTGAGACAAGAGGAGAAACAGAAGTAGTCTGTTTCAAAAACCACAATTTAGGACTAGCACTACTTTGCATTAAGAATGACTCTCTCCTACCCATCCTCCTCTCTCTCTTTATCTCTCTGCCTAGTCTCTCTCTCACCCATGCTTGATGCCCCCCCTGCATGCTCCTAATAACCCATGATGAGTCCTCTACAGTTGAGCACCCTCCCATCAGACACCCACTGAGACCTATACACACACACAAATACACACACTTACACACTCTACCCTCTGTGTGAACATAGAGCTGTGGATGATGACAGCCATCAACAGGGCAATTAATGGGCCCATCCCCTGGTTACAATACAACAGAGGGAAGAGGCAGAAAAACAAAACTGGCCAATATGGCTGGAAACTAACAGTATAATTAGCCTAGCATGCGGATCCCACTTGGGCTCAAAGACCCAAAAGCACAGCCAGCAATGATGCCAGGATGTGGTGAGGGAGACCAGGGAGAGATGAAGTGGAGAGAGAGGTGTAATAGTACAAGAAAACACACACAAATTTAAGATAAGCTAAGGAGGCTGAGAACAGTAAAGCAGCTCTATTGTAACTACTCCAAACCTGGCTTTATTTTACCCTAAAAGATGGAGACTGCAGGAATAGAGGGAGTATCAGAGCCAAGTGAGCATGGAGAAAGTGATGGCATTATGACAGAGAAATGCAAGGGAGGCATAAAGGAGAGGTGGATGCAGGGAGGCAGGGAGGGAGGGAGGAGTGGTGTAGACACAGGACCATGCCTGTAGCATACTGATGCTGCTGTAAGACATGCAGTCAACGTGGCCTTGACTAAGCAACCAAGCATGTTCTGCAGAGGGCTGGGCTGTGTGTGTGCATGTTTTGTCAGCTATGACAGTGGGAGAAAAGAATACAATAATGGAAACATGGGATTAGGTAAATGCATATACTTTATGTGAGTGCATGAAGCATTTGCATGCAATTTTTTATGTAGATGCACACATGTTTAAATATGTCTGTGTGTGCAATGTGTGCTGCAGTGGGCAGTGGTTTGTTCATTATGCTGCGTGTCTCTCCTCTTTTCATGCCTCTGATATCAAAACACAGAGCCCCAGCAGCTATTGTGCTAGCTGCTACCAAACCTTGTGCCCATGGGACTTCCTATTCTGCTCTTCAAGAAAAGTATAATGAAGGCCACAGACAACCACACCCATTACACACAGTTCAACTCATGAACACGAAGAAAGTAGGTCTTTGTTTCTATTTTCCTGAATGTTAAGTTGCAAGAATGTTAAATTAGTTTTCCCTATATTTATTATCATATTTGTTATGTTGCAATTTAGCCACAGGGGCTTCAAGCCAGTGACTTCTGTGCTGGTCCCAAGCCCAGATAAATAGAGAGGTTTGTGTCAGGAAGGGCATCCGGTGTAAAACGTGCCAAATTTAAACATGCAAATCATAAGTGTGAATTCCATACCGGACTGGTTGAGGGCTGGGTTAATAACAACCACCATGGCGCTGTTGACCTACAGGGTGCTGGCAGAAATTGGACTACTATTGGTCGAGGAAGGAGAGGAGGCAGAAGCATTCATAGACAGAGAGAGAAGAGGAAAGGCAGCAGAATAGGGATTCTTAATGTTGGCACAATGACAGGGAAAGGTAGAGAGCTGGCGGACATGATGGAGAGAAGGAAGGTAGATATACTGTGTGTGCAGGAGACCAGGTGGAAGGGTAGCAAAGCGCATAGCATTGGAGGGGGATACAAACTGTTTTATTATGGTGTGGACAGGAAGAGAAATGGGGCAGGAGTGATCCTGAAGGAGGAGCTCATGAGGAATGTTTTAGAGGTGAAAAGAGTGTCAGACAGGGTGATCAGTTTGAAGTTGGAAAATAAAGGGGTC